AGTAATCAAGACAGTATGGTATTGGTGAATGAATAGATAAAGATCATTGGAACAGAACAGAGAGCCCAGAAATACATTCATATAAATACAGTCAACTGATCTTCAACAAATGCACAAGGGAAATACAACGGAGAAAATACAGTCTTTCCAGCAAACAGTGCTGAAACAATAGGACATCCACATTCCAAAAAAAAAAAAAAAAAAAACTAGACAAAGTCTTTACACTCTTCACAAAGAGGTAACTCAAAAGGAATCACACGGGAGGGTGTGGTGTACACAAAACTATAAAACTAGAAGGTAACACAGGAGAAATATCTCAATAACCTTGGGTTTGGTGATGATGTTTTAGATATGACACCATAGGCATAATCCATGAAAGAAAGAATTGATGAGTTGGACTTCATTAAAATTAAAAACTTCTATTCTGCAAAAGACACTGTAAAGAAAATGAAAAGACAAGCCACAGACTGGGATAAAGAACTACTCTCCAAAATATACAAAGAACTCTTAAAACTCAACAATAAGATAAAAATCTAAAGCACTGACAACACCAAATGCTGACAAGGAAGTGGAGCAACAAGAACTCTCATTCACTGCTGGTGGGAATGCAAAAATGGTACAGCTACTTTAGAAGACAGTTTGGCACCCTCTTACAAAATAAGCATGCTCTTAACATAAAATCTGGCAATCACATTCCTTTGCATTTACCCAAAGGAGATGAAAACTTATGTCTACACAAAAATCTACATGCAGATGTTTATGGCAGCTTTATTCTTAATTGCCAAAACTTGGAAGCTATCAAGATGTCTTTCAGTAGTTGAGTAGGTAAGCAAACTGGAATATTACTCAGTGCTAAAAGGAACGTGGAGGAAGCTTAAGTGCACATGACTAAGTGAAAGAAGCCAATCGGAAAAGGCTACATATTGTATGATTGCAACTATATGACATTTTGGAAAAGGCAAAACTATGGAGACAGTAAATAGATCAGTCATTGCCAGGGGTTAGCAAGGAGGGATGAAACGGTAGAACAAAGATTTTTAGAGCAGTGAAACTACTCTGTATGATACTATAATGGTGGATACATGTTATTATAAGTTTGTCAAAAAATGTTCACTATCAAGAGTAAACCCTACTGTAAACTATGGTCTTTGGGTGATAAATGATGTGTCAATGTAGGTTCGTCAACTGTTAAAAAATATACCACTCTGGTGGGGGATATTGATAGTGGGGGACACTATGCACGTGTGGTAGCAGGGAGCACGTGGGAAATATGTACACCTTCCACCCAATTTTGCTGTGAACCTAAAACTGCTCTTAAAAAAAAAGTCTATTAAATTTTTAAAAATCAAACATAAGTATCAATAAAATTATCAGTATTTCAGACATAGTGCATTGGTATTAGCTCTGGCTCCCTCTGCTTTTGGAAATTTCTGGCTCTCTCTCTCTCTCTCTGTCTCTCTCTCTCTCTCTCTCACACACACACACACACACACACACACACAACTGGCCAAATATAATATATTAACTTTGTTTTCACTTCCACCATTTAAAAGAATAAATTTAAAAAACAAACAAGTACCCTATTTGTGAAGAGGATAAGTCTTGGTTCTTTTCATATTTTCAACCTTTCATATAAAAATATCTTTACCTACCTTTGGAAGCCAAAAGGCATAAGAAATTTTATATTGCAAAGATAATTAACAGTACATGACTGAGGAATACAGAATGCTATACACACATACATGTAAACACAAATTACGAGACTTTTCCTCAAAATAATATCAACTGCAAAAGGCAAACACTGTGTATATTATAATTAATTGTTATAAACATTTTTATTTATAAAGATCGTATCTATTCCAAGCCAAGTAGTTTTCATGTTCAAAAAGGAAAAGAAACAAAACATAGACTATAATTCAAATTAAACAATTTAATCTAATTTTCAAAACAAACAACATTACATTATTAAGAGTCAGACTATTCAGGACTTAGTGATTAGACACTAAGAAATCTAAGTACTCACCAAGCGAATAGCTGTTTCTAGACTCAGAAAAGAAATAAAGTTCCATATAGCTAGCCAAGACATCATAACTATTGAGTTGACTGATAATGCATGATGTGCCGAAGTTACTAAATAAAAGCCTTCATATTTACTCAAGTTATTAACAGATAACTATTCAGAATTTCTCAGAACACATGCTAGAATGTTTAAGTCCTTAAAATAGCAGAATATTAAGAACTAAAACCCAAGAAAAGCCCAACAAAAAAGACCTTTAAGACTTTTTTGGCTGTTATTACTTTTAATTTCAAGTTTTATTGGAAATAGAGTTCTTAAAACCTATATAACGATTTAAAAAAACCAATACATAAAAATATTTGGTCCTAGAAAAATTTTCAACATTAATAATACAAAAGACATTGAGTTTTTAAAGAAACAGAAAGACATTCAGAGTAATTCTTACCACTTGAATAAGAAATTCTACTGGAAAACCACCTAATGTTTCAGTGTCAGAGCCAGAAATTTTACTTTTCCAAGGTGACTGTCCTAATAAAGGATCATTATCCTACAGGAATAAAAAAGAATCATTTAATCACTGAATGTTCAAAAGGAATTATCTTAATTTTAGACAAAGAGAAAATTCTATTATAATTAATACTATATTAAAATCTAATAAAAGGGGCTGGCCCGGTGGCTCACTGCGCTAGTGCGCCGCTTGGGAAGCGCGGTGGCGCTCCTGCCGAGGGTTCGGATCCCACATACAGACCGGTTCCCGCTCACTGGCTGAGCGAGGCGCGGGGGCAACACCGAGGGTTGCGATCCCGTTGCCGGTCCTGGTCCGGTACGGGGGCAACACTGAGGGTTGCAATCCGTTGCCGGACACAGAAAAAGACAAAAAAAAAAAAAAAGATTTGGCAGTTCAAAATAATGTGGGTACCTCCTGAAGTTGCTGTAACAGATGTGTATTTCAAAAGGAAATA